TGTTTGTTTGTGATTTCTGCTTATGCTCCCACCGACTGCAGTTCTAATGCAGTCAAGAACACTTTCTATCACGAACTGAATGCCCTGCTACGCAGTGCTACTAGTTCAGATATTATAGTATTTGCAAGGGATATGAACGTACAAGTAGGGCGTCTGAGCTCTTCAAAAGCTCAGCTGGGTGGTAAGTATGGACTTAACGCCGAACGGACTGACAACGGCGAGCGTCTGCTGCAACTGTGTGCGGAGCACCAGTTGTTTCTTACTAGCACTGCTTTTAGACACCGTGGACGCCGAAGTGCCACTTGGCGTCCACCTGTAGCTGGCCAGCGATGGACCCAAATTGACCACATTGCCATAAGTTACAGGTGGCGCGGTTCCATTCTGGATTGCCGCTCGTACTGGAGTACCTGCGTCGACTCTGACCATGCCTTGGTGCGCTGTCGTTTCTCCATGAACATTACCGGACGGCGCACAAAGCGTCTCCCCCGATTGGCAACGGAGAAATTGTCCCAGCCCTCTGTCAGGCAAGCCTATCAAGAAGCACTGCATAGCGAACTCTCACTGTCTTGTCCTAATGACACTGAACTTCAGTGGAATAGGACCTCGGCCAGTATGCACGATGCAGGAGCATCTGTATGTGGCACTATCAGTCGTCACCGCACCAGTCACTGGATATCCGAGAGGTCGGTGAACCTTTTGGAAGCTAGAAGACACCTCCCGGCTGATTCTGAACACAATGTGACCAGACGGGCTATTGGGCGTGAACTAAAGCGGAGCCTACGTGCTGACAAGGAAGCCTGGTGGACCAGTCGGGCTCAAGAAATGGAGGAGGCAGGAGCAGTAGGCAATTACCGCAAGCTCTTCCAGCTAATACGCACCACTGGTCCGAGAAAACCAGGCGTCAGTGAGACAATCAGAGACAGCGCGGGTGCGCTGATACACAATAAGGAGCGCCGTATGGCTCGTTGGGCTGAGCACTTTGAACATCAGTTCAACTGGCCCCCTGCTCCCGGACCTCTTCCTACTCAGGTGATGCAGGACGAGCCATGGACGGTTAGTTTAGAGCCTCCGTCGGAGGCCGAAGTCCGAAACGCGATCACAGCCCTCAATCGTTTTCGTGCCGCTGGTCCGGATTCCCTACCACCTGCACTATTTAAGGATGGAGGTGAGGTCCTCTGCAAGCACTGACCTCCCTATTCGAACGTATCTGGAACGAAGAGAGTGTGCCGGCTAATTGGAGCGAATCGATTATAGTGGCAATATACAAAAAGGGCAGTCGCACAGACTGTGCGAACCACAGGGGTATTAGCCTAACGCCAGTTGTGACAAAATTACTGGCCTCGATTATCGTTCGTCGCCTCACTGCAGAACGGGAATCTCGGATTAGGGAAGAGCAGGCCGGTTTTCGCCCAGGACGTGGCTGTATAGACCATATATTTACTTTGCGGCAGGTGCTAGAGCAGCGCCACGCATACCGCAGACCGACAATAGCTGTGTTCCTCGATTTCAAGAGTGCGTTCGATTCAGTCGATCGATCGATTCTGTTCGAATTACTTGCGCGGAAAGGTGTTCCCACGAAATATGTGAACATCCTTCGTGCTCTATACTCGAACACTAGAGGCCGCGTCAGGGTCTATGGTGCCCTATCGGATAGCTTTTCGACTACAAGTGGCGTTCGACAGGGTTGCCTGATTTCCCCGTTTTTGTTCAATTTCGTCGTGGATTCTATCATGGAGTGTTCCCTTGCGGAATCTCACGATGTAGGTGTTGAAGTGCTGCCTGGTGAACGGTTAGTTGATCTAGAGTATGCGGACGATATCGTCTTGCTTTTCGACAATGTTGAGGCGGCACAATCAACCCTGAATAGCCTATCCAGAGTGGTCCCATTATTTGGTATGCACTTCGCACCTTCGAAGTGCAGTGTTGCTGCAGGACCACCAGCCACTCGATGACCCCTTGACGCTTGCTAACGAGGAACTCGAGGTGGTTGATCAATTCACTTATCTTGGCAGCTGCATCAGCAATGATGGGCGCATAGAAACTGACGTCAGCTCACGCATTGCAAAGGCCAGAGCTGCCTTCTTGAACCTGCGTCATCTTTGGCGACAGAAGGGAGTTTCCCTCCGTCTGAAAGGCCGTGTATACAAGGCCACAGTGAGGGCCGTTCTGCTGTATGGTAGTGAGACTTGGCCCCTTCGGTCTGAAGATCTGAGGCGCCTTCAAGTCTTTGATCATCGTTGTTTGCGAAGCATTGCTGGTGTCGGATGGCACCAGCGTGTCCGCAACGATGATGTGCGTAGGCGAGTACTAGGTGGTGATGATCATGCTAGCTCCCTAGAACAACAGATAGCACTGAATAAGTTGCGTTGGCTCGGGCACGTGCTACGCATGCCTGATCACCGCTTACCCAGGAGGGCCTTGTTCAGTCTACCAGGTGTAGGATGGCGCAAGGCTCGAGGTGGACAGAAGTTGACTTGGCAGCGGGAAATGAAGTCACTGACGACCAAACTGGGTGCCGTTGGTCCGTCTCGCCTCCGGGTTGGAGTCCACGTGACTCACCTTGTGCTTGGCTCGAGACTTTACAGGATATGGCTCGCAACCGACACCAGTGGCGCGTCTGCTGCCGTCTCCTAATCGGATTGTCTGTTTAAAGTGTGTTTGGTGCTGAGTTATCTGCGGGGTAATGGCTGATTATGACGCGTGGCAGTGAAAGCCGCAAGGAAGCTGTCTCGCCGATGCCTGCCTTATCTTTGCACGATAGCCAGCTGTTTGTGACGGAATGTTGTCTACACAAGGTGTAGGCGCCTTGACCCTGAATGTTTGCTTAGGGCATTAAGGTTTTCAGGTAAGTCCCCCTTCTCTCCCTCTTCTTATTCTTATTTCATAGGTCCTCATGGTTGTATGGCAGCGAAGCATCAGTTCAAATGGCTGATGTACTGCTGTTGATGATGATGATGATGATGATGCTACAATTGAACATTGCTAAGTGCAAAGTAATACATTTGCGTCACCAGCCGATGAGCGCTTACAAGATTGGAGACCACATCTTGGCGAAGATTTCTCAGAAGCGTGACTTGGGTATATTGGTACAGGAAGCATTTGGGTGTTTAAAGCAAGCAGAGAAGGCGACGAGAACCGGAAATCAACACTTCGGCCTTCTTCGCAGAGCCTTCGGTCGGTTTGAACCCTCAATCTTTCCCCAATTGCTCAACGCCTACGTGCGATCGCACGTGGAATATGCTATTCAGGCGTGGCAGCCGTGGCAAAAACAGGATCTCGCTGCTCTCGAGACTCCTCAACGAAGGGCAACCAAGAATGTCAGGGGCCTCTTTCATCTGCCGTATCAGCTTAGACTGAAATTTCTAAGAATCTACAGCAGTCGATACCGGCTTTTGCGGGGCGATCTCATAATGGTTTACCAGATTCTGAAGAACCCAAACCACATTTGCCGTCCGCTGCTGGAATTGAACCACAACACTAAACTAGGAGGTCACCCTCTTAAACTGGCAATTCATTATAGCCGGCTTAAATGCCGTAGCAATTTCTTTTCTCTCCGCGTGTGCTAGCATTGGAACGCCCTCTCTAATTATGTCGTCTCTGCTCCCAAGCTGGCGATATTTAAAAAACGTGTTGACGATGCATTGTCTCACTTACATTTCATTTTATTACTTGTTAGCCACGGGTTACAAAACGCAATCAAACGGTTTCTTGCCAAACGACTAACCAATGGATTTATAGACTTATACGTTTAATAAGCGAACATCTCCGCTATTCCAGATAATTCTATGGTGAGTCCACCAGAAAGCTTTTCACTTTATTATGCAATTCAATTTTCGCAATACTTTCCATTCCACGGGACTTGTTAAGCGATGCTTTTTTTACCCGTAATAAACCATTGTTCCATTGTTTCTTGTCACTTATGGCTTCAACAAAATGACCCTTGCGGTCTTCTTTCCTCTAAAGGATCATACCACCTCCAGGCTTAGCACCAGAGCAATTCACTCAACAGTTCTTATGCCCTTGAATATGTAACTCCCAGTCCAAGGTTTGCGAAAGCAACTAGGTCTGTGTGAAAGCCATAAGGTCTGGGTGACGCCTAGAGACAAGGGTATGAGATTCAC